AAGGCCCCGGGCAATGGGGTTGCCCCCCCGCTTTTTAAGTTCCTTCCCCCCCCCAGAGGGGGGTTACTTTTGCCCCCCCCCCCCCCCGCCTTTCCAGTTTTTTCTGCCAAAACGATGGTGCCAAGGCCAATATCCCCTTTTTTTTAGAAAGAAAAAGCCCCAAATTTTAGACCTTGGTGATTTTTTGCCGCACCATTCTCCCCTAGCCGACAATGGACCGGTCCCCCCTCCCCCTCGAGAATGCTGGACAGTCCCCTCCTTCGCGGGGGGAAGGGAATTCCCCCCTAACGGTGCCCTTCATTGTGCAGATGGGGAGAGAAAGGAGGCATCTGAGAAGACGTTTCTCAGGCCAGGTCTGAGCCTCCGTGGTCTTGGGAACCCCCGATACCAGAACGAAACCCCCCCCCCCCAGCAGCATGTGCAAAGCCACTTGGCGGGGGTCAGAGCATGCCGGTGCCTGAATGCCTGCATCCTACCTTCCGCTCCGTGAACTTGGGCTTGGTCCCTGACCTTCCTGAGCCTTGCTCTCCCCAGCTGGGGAAAATGGGGATCATAGAAGACTATTGTGCGGGGCCGTCGGAAGGGCTGGCAGGCATGGTGAGGACACCGTGCCTGAGCCGCAGCAAATGATGGTGGCATTTGCCTCGGTGCTGGCTACAGAGTCTGCGGGGAGAGCCTTTGACAGATGCTGGTCATCTGGCATCTTTGGTCCTTTTTATTCCCAAGTCCGTCCATCCGCCTGCCCCAGGCCCCAGCCCTGTTGGTTCTTAGCTCCTGTGTGTGGCCCCGGTCTCCAAGAGTCTCCTCCAGGCTCCGGGGACACGAAATTCTCAGCAAAGAGACATTTCTAAGCAGCTCATCTGGAGCGCTGCCATGGAGAGAGAGAAAAAACCCGCACCAGGGAGTAAGCTGTGGTGTATATCTTCATGCCTTCAGCTGGCAAACCAAAGAAACGACAGTGTAAGAGCCGCACTCAGGGCTGCTGCCTCTAAGCGTACGAGCCGGCTGCAAGCTCTCCGGTAGAGGCCTGGCCCCAAACCACAGGCCCCACGAGGTTTGAATTAACCTGCCCGTGGCAGATTGGAGGCAGCGCCCCAGCCATAAATGTGACGTTCTCATCGATTCAGTGCTCACGCTCGCGCCAGGCATCTTCTGAGCCCTTTATTTCTCCTGTGGTCACTCGATCTTCCCCCAGCTCGGTGTGGCAGTGCTGTCGTTGTCATCACGGTGGTACGTACGGATAGGTCAGCTGACGCCCGGGGTTCAAATCACTGGCCTGAGGTCACACAGCGAGAAGTGGGCAGGATTTCAGCCCAGGCGTCTCGGCTTTTGACGTCTGTGCCACGCCTTACGATCTCTGAACCAGATTTAAGACAGGGAGTGGGGTGCTGGCCAGTGTGGCTCAGTGGTTGAGCGTCGGCGCATGCGCCAGGAGGTCATGGTTTGAGTCTGATCAGGACACATGCCGAGTTGCAGGCTCGATCCCCCGTAGGGGATGTGCAGGAGGCAGCCGATCGATGTTTCTCTCTCATCGCCGGTGTTTCAATCTCCCTCTCCCTCTCCCTTCCTCTTGCTAAAAATAAATAAATAAATTATATATATATATATATTCTGCTCGCTCCCCATATATATATTAAAGCAGGGAGTGGGGTGTTGAAAGGGATTTCAGATTAACTGCTTTGGGAGGGGGAGGTGCAAATGAGTATACCTAGTAAAACTATACCCTTGAATAATAGATGTTTGTGTGTATGCATGTGTGTGTGTGCACGCGCACACGCATGTGTGTATGAGCCAAGTGCAGGCCCCGCCACGCCCCCTCCGCTGACCGCGCTCCTCCTGGTTGCAGGTAACCTGGACATCACCCCGGACGACCCCCGCTGGATTGGAGCCTGGTGGGCCGGCTTTCTGCTCTGCGGTGCCTTACTCTTCTTCTCTTCCCTCTTGATGTTCGGGTTCCCCCAGTCTCTGCCCCTGCACTCCGACCCCGCCGTGGAGAGCGAGCAGGCCATGCTCCCCGAGAGGGAGTACGAGAGGCCCCCGCCCAGCAACGGGGTCCTGCGGCACCCGCTGGAGCCGGACAGCAGCGCCTCCTGCTTCCAGCAGCTGAAAGGTAAGACGCCTCGTCCGCGGGCGGCCAGGTTATGGGGGGATCGAGGGCAGGGGGACGCTGGTAACCAGGACGGGCTGAGGGGGCACAGGAGGCAGAATCGACCTTGTTTTGCATGACTTGCTTCCCAGGCCTGTGCCTGACTCCCTGCGAGCCTTGCTGGCGGGTCCTGACCCTCGGGTGGGCTTTCCCGGGGGCCGGTCCCAGCCGTTAAACCCTGGAGGCAGAGCCCTGCCTTTGATCATTGAAAGAGCAGAGCTTCAAAGGCTGAGTCCTCGTCTGTGTGCTGGTCACGCTGACGGCCAAGCGGCCCCTTTCTGTCCCAGAAATGATAGCTGCGCCGGCGACAGCGGGGACAGCGGGGACGGCAGGGACAGCTGAGCAGGCTCAGAGCCTTCACAGCCGGCCCCACAGTGTGCGGTGGCTAATGACTCTCAGAGCACTCGCCCGGCCGCCCGCTTGTCCGCTCGATGAGGTGGATGTGACTGTCTTCGTGCCACCCATCGGGACAGCGGGACTAGGCCCAGGTCTCCAGACTCTAAATTCCGAGCTCATCCCAGTGTTTTGCACAAGGATTCACTCAACTGATAATGAACCAACCGAGGAGGAAAAAGGGAGTCAGCAGGGGGTTGATGGAACAAAAGCCCTTTTCGATCTTTTTTTTTTATGTTTTTATTGATTTCAGAGAGGAAGGGAGAGGGAGAGAAAGAGAAACATCACGATGAGAGAAGTATTGATAAGGTGCCTCCTGCACGCCCCCTCCTGGGGATGGAGCCCACACCCAGGCATGTGCCCTGACCTGGGATGGAACTGTGACCTCCTGGTTCTGAGCCACACCGGCTGGGCCCAGCCCACACTTAACCCTGGCACCATCAGCCTCCCTCTAGATACCCCTGCAATACTTCCAGAAACAATGTGTACGTAACAAAGGACAATGTCTCAACACTGAAACGCAGGTTTTTAGTGTGTGAACGCTTGTCGACATTTCTTTGAAATGACATCTCTTAAAAAGTCAGATTGTCAGCAATGTTCCAAACCCTGTGAAAAATAAACACACGCCCCTACAGGCCAGGATTCGCGCAGTGAAGCAGCAGGTACGTGGATGGATACCGAGAACTGAAGGTGGTGTCCCCACGCTGTTATTCTTACTCAAGCCTGTTTAAAAGATTTTGTTCCGTGTGTGTGTGTGGCATGCAATTATTTAATCCAAGAGCCGCCTCCCTAAGGTTTTAGTTATATTAACAGGAAGCTGCCCACAGAACCACGGAGGCCACGAGCACAGTGTGGCCTGGTGGTTTCTCAGCGGGGCTGTGGGGTTGTGCCCACAACCCAGGTATAAGCCCTTGTCAATCATGGATCGGCTGCCTCCTGCACGCCCCCTACTGGGGATGGCGCCCACAACCTGGGCATGTGCCCTTCCAGGAATCGAACCAGTGACCTCTGGGTTCATAGGTTGATGCTCAACCACTGAGCCACCCCGGCCAGTCCCAAATGTCCCATTTTTAAAAACACTAATGGAAAAGGAAATCTTAGTGGTTTCTGAACCCGCATACTTAAGAGAAATACAGTGCAATGAAATGAGATTAACATGGTTCCCCCAACAAGCCCTGCTCTGGCTCTGGGCTGAGTGGATTGGGTGGGGGAGGACCACCTGAGGAAGGAGGAACACGGGGAGCAAAGACCTGGGGCAGAGTGCTCCCCTGAGGAGATAGCCCTGGAGCAGACGTCTGGGTGGGGAGCCGGGTGCTCACGATAACAGCTCAGCAGGGGGGCTGGGCTGGAGGGAGGAGGGGTGAGGTGGCAAGTGTGATCAGACCGCTGAGGGGCAGACCCCGGGCCATCGCTGGGCGTGGTTGTGTCCATGGTGGAGTTTGGAGCAGGCACGTGATGGGAGCTGATCCCATTGGCTGCCGGGTGGGGAGTGATGGCATCGGATCAAGAATGAGAACTAAGACCTAGTTGGGCTGTGCGGTGATCCCCCAGGTGAGAGGCCCTGGCGGCTCTGTCCAGGGAGGTGGCCGTGAAGGTGGTGGAGGCAAGGATGGGGGAGGTTATGTATTTAGAATGGATATGGGAGAGCCTGGAATTTCCTTTCTTTCTTGGAATTGTTCAGATTAAGTACACATACAGTTGTAAATGTTAAATATATATATATAGATAAATATATCTATACATATATATCTATATATGGATATATATAGATCTATATATAGATATGTTAATAGAACATAGTTATACACTTATAATTTATTTATAACATATAATTTAGGTGTATTTTCCCTTTTGAGAAACCCAATCTCCTTTGGGGGGGAGGTAAGTTGTGATTGCTTATAAACATTTTTGGTAAGTTGTGCTTATAAAACATTTAGTGTTCCCGCTAAACTGTAATAACAGGCATGTTATAGCCTCCCGTTTTAGTACTTGTCAGCCTGAGTTTGGAGCTGAGGGTGACCTACGGGCTATAGATTTGGGCCTGAGGAGCCGGGTGATTCCACTGCTGTTGACTGACCCAGGCAAGAAGGGCCTTGCGGGCAGAGGGCCTGGGAGTGCCGTACGTGTGACCTTGGCCCCTGCTTCTCTCCCTCAGTGATCCCCAAGGTCACCAAGCACCTGCTCTCCAACCCCGTGTTCACCTGCATCGTCCTGGCCGCCTGCATGGAGATCGCGGTGGTGGCCGGCTTCGCTGCCTTCCTGGGGAAGTACCTGGAGCAGCAGTTTAACCTCACCACCTCCTCTGCCAACCAGCTGCTCGGTGAGTCCGCCTCAGCCCCCGGGAGGGAGGAGGCTGTGTCCTGCTCATAATCAATACGGCAAGAGCATCCAGAGCCCGGCCGGTGTGGCTCAGTGGTTAAGCGTCGACCTATGAACCAGGAGGTCACGGTTTGATTCCCAGTCAGGGCACATGCCCGGGTTGCAGGCTCGATCCCCAGCAGAGGGCGTGCAGGAGGCAGCTGATTGATGATTCTCATCATTGATGTTTCTCTCTCTCTCCCCCTCTCCCTTCCACTCTGTGCTACTTTCTTACAGAGCTCAACCTCCCTGATTATATTTTTCTAACTCTAATATTAAAATTAATTTGCATTCCCTGAGCACGTAGCAGCTGGTTGATACAGTCGACTGACCTAGGATCTGTTGATTGGCAAGGAGGAGGCCTACTGGGCCGGGAAATTGGCCGCACAATCCACCCCGTGGACAAATGACGCCCGTGGTCATTTACATTCGAGTTTTCAATGAAGCGCGTTGGTTTCCCTAAAATCCCATGAGTCTCTGGGAATCATAAGTAACAGGTTTTGGTCCTGCTGCCTTGCAGATGGCTCTGTTTCTGAGAGAGAGAGAGAGGGAGAGAGAGAGAAAGAGAGAGAGAGAGAGAGAGAGAGAGAGAGAGAGAGAGAGAGAGAGAGATTGATTTACTCACCAAGAGCCCCAAAATATACTGACTGGCTTAGTGCTCTTTCCTGCGAGGCTCTGGGGCTGCTTCAAGCGCCGTCTGGGGCTGGCGGTTGTGGGCCCTTTGGCGAAACAGCTCCTGGCCCCTCCGCGGAGCACCCCTGGCCTGGTTAGAAGAGGAGGGACATCCCCTGTGAGTGGCAGCCCCGGACCCGGTCACTCAGCAGCTCAGAGAGCACCCCGGCTCCTGGTCCTCCTTTCTCAGAGCGCGTGTGCGTCCCTGGAATATGTCTTTGTTTCTCGGTCGTCCCCGCACCAGCTGTGTTTCTGTGCGGGGACCCCACTCACAATAGGGGGGCATTCAGACGCCTGGGAACGGAGTTGGTACGTGTGTGTCTCTCCAGCTTTCTGTGAGCTCCTTGAGGGCCGAGATGAGGCCCCTGATGGAGACTTAGGCACCGGGAGGGCGGCCGGGAGGGAGGCCCCGCTGCCCCTGCTCACGGCCCGCCCTCTGCCCTCCAGGGATGACGGCGATCCCCTGCGCCTGCCTGGGCATCTTCCTGGGCGGCCTGCTGGTGAAGAAGCTCAGCCTGTCCGCCCTGGGCGCCATCCGCATGGCCATGCTCGTCAACCTGGTGTCCACGGCGTGCTACGTCTCCTTCCTCTTCCTGGGCTGCGACACGGGCCCGGTGGCCGGGGTCACGGTTCCCTATGGAAACACGTAAGTCCCGCAACGTCTGCTCTGCCCGTCGGCCCCGCAGGCCGGCTCCCTCTCACGCGTAGGGACCCGGGCGGAGGCGTGGATGGCGTCTCTGCATCTGACTCCCAAGGTCAGAGAATCGGGTGACCCCTGGGCGGGGAGGGCAGACCACTCCCTCGACGGCTCGCCCAGGGCAGCGGACAGACGCCGGGGAGTCGGTCAGACATCACTCCCCGGAGGACTCACGTTACGGCTTCTCATGTTTGACTGTGGGAATAATGTGAAGATAGGAAATAAAAATGATTTTATTGTAATATTCAGCTTCAAGTAAAAGATGGAATAGGCATCAACAGTTCCCTAGACTAATGGAGCTATTATTACGCTCACACGGTAATTACAGGCTCTGGCTCGGGTAGGAATTGGTAAGTGTGGGAGGGAGAATAAAAAGGAGAGAAGGGAGAGGCGAAGTGAAGGAACTTAATTTCATGCGGGAACTTTTCTTACTGTCTAGTTACTACCCTTAGATGCCGGTGTTGACAGCTTCCCCTTTTCTACATGGGACTCCGGCTGCCTTGAGAAGCCGGCCTGGAGCTGAGGCTGTGGCACAGCTGGCCTGCAGTTCCTCTCCTCCCTGGCCGCCTCCTCCGGGCAGCCCGCCAGGCCCACTTCTGCAGTTAAGCCAGAAGCTGCAGTGGAGCTGGGCTCAAGGAGAGACCCTTCCCTCTTACACACTAAAAACACCCCTTCTGCCCCTTCCTCTTTGCAATTTGCTTGCTCAAGGTCACTTTGCCTTTAGTGGTACAAAAGCAAATTTAAAATATCTCAGTGTTATTTTTCGCAGGAAATCAGCACACTCAAGCAGACAGTAATTACTGAAGCAGCCTCGTCATAGTAGTTTGTTAGGCACCACGAGGCTTGCTGTCTGCTGGGAGGAATCAAACAGAGACAAGGACTGAAGAGGGGAGACGTTAGTGGTCAGCTGTGCTGGGTGGAGCTGTTGGCCCAGTGGAGGCTGTGGTAATCCGGAGAGGCAGCATGGAGGAGGCGGCCCTGAGCAGCGCTCCCACCAGCCAGCCAGCCTGGCTCCATGGTGCAGGGAGCAGCCCCCAGACGCTCAGCAGTGGCTCTGGGCTGCATGTTGCAGGACAAGCGGGTTAAGAGGAGGAAAAGCAAGGGGGTGACTCATCCCAGCAGAGAGATATCCCTGGGGGTCCTGGGGAAGCCGGCCTTTCTCTGACCCGCTCCGTGTTTTCTTTCTTTTCCAGCTCAGCGCCTGGCGCAGCCCTGGACCCCTACTCACCCTGCAATAAAAACTGTGAATGCCAAACCGACTCCTTCACTCCCGTGTGCGGGGCGGACGGCGTCACCTACCTGTCTGCCTGCTTCGCTGGCTGCAACAGCACGGTATGTGGTTTCCTCAGGGCGCGGGAGGGAGCGGGGACACGGGCAGCCCCAGCGGCTTAAACCCGAAGGGCAGGGCAGGCGTGGGCAACCACACTGGGTCTTCTCTCAGCCCGCCCTGCTACGGCGAAGGGTTTTCCATCAGTAGGAGGAGGGGACAGCTGGGCCCTTCTTGCTAAATCCAATTGGTTTCCCAAAAGCGTCTCTGAGCAAAGGAAAGGAAACAAAGAAAGCTGCACATGTGGGGCCAGAGAAAAAGACTGTGGCCCGAGGCACTCACCAGGGTCAGTGGGGGAGGACGACTGCGGTAATGAGCTCCCCGGCAACACGAGTATGCAAGGGAAGGCTAGAAGGCCATGACAGGGAGCCCTCTTCCACAGCGGAGACTGTGGCGTCAATTCGGCCTCTTCCCTATGCAGCGCCCTTGGCCTTCTGCATCTCCATCTCCCATGGTACCTTTTGTGGCTCTTTCCTTCTTGGCCGGAATTACACAGCTGGCAGGAGCCTGCCGCCTGCCATGTTCTCCGCATGGATACCCGATGCCAAGTGACTGGTCACCAGCTCCAGGGGATCCTACCTGCAGGGTCTCTCCCGCCTGCCCTTCCGCATCCACGCCACCCCGCCCTGCTAGGGGCCTTCCTCATCTCTTGCTTGGACCAGGGCAGTGGTTGCCTAACTGGTCTCCCAGCTCAGGGTGGCCCCCTTCTGGTCTGTCCTCCGCGCTGCAGCCAGAATGATTTCTGTGAGGCTACAAGGCCCCTTGCCAAGGCTGCTCTGTGAGCTGGGAGGGAAGAGCCAGGCGGCCCTGGGTTTGTGTCCTCAGCATGTGTCTGTCCCCAGCCGCGTCCTCAGCATGTGTCTGTCCCCAGCCGCGTCCTCAGCGTGTGTCTGTCCCAGCCGCGTCCTCAGCGTGTGTCTGTCCCCAGCCGCGTCCTCAGCGTGTGTCTGTCCCAGCCGCGTCCTCAGCGTGTGTCTGTCCCAGCCGCGTCCTCAGCGTGTGTCTGTCCCAGCCGCGTCCTCAGCGTGTGTCTGTCCCCAGCCGCGTCCTCAGCGTGTGTCTGTCCCAGCCGCGTCCTCAGCGTGTGTCTGTCCCAGCCGCGTCCTCAGCGTGTGTCTGTCCCAGCCGCGTCCTCAGCGTGTGTCTGTCCCAGCCGCGTCCTCAGCCTGTGTCTGTCCCAGCCGCGTCCTCAGCCTGTGTCTGTCCCAGCCGCGTCCTCAGCCTGTGTCTGTCCCCAGCCGCGTCCTCAGCCTGTGTCTGTCCCCAGCCGCGTCCTCAGCGTGTGTCTGTCCCCAGCCGCGTCCTCAGCGTGTGTCTGTCCCCAGCCGCGTCCTCCGCGTGTGTCTGTCCCAGCCGCGTCCTCAGCCTGTGTCTGTCCCCAGCCGCGTCCTCA